GGAAACCAGCCCTCGTGGAGCTCACCCCGAGGGTTCGGGCCTTGTGCTAAGTGTTACAGGTGATTGCTGCTGGACATGCAATTATTCATTCTTAGACCTTCCAAGAATCTTAAGGAAGGAGGACAGGGGTTACCAAAGATTTTTTCCAACTTTAGAGGGAATGAATGCAGCAACTGCAGACGGCAGCATTTGGGTGCTAAATAACATAATGTGTCCAAAAGATGCCATTGTTTGAAATTAGCCCCAATCACTGACAGGTCATTAACTCCTGCCACTAGTTTAATTTCTTGTGTGGACCTGGTACAGGAAACCACACATGGGTGGTAATTTTTTCCCCTCCAATCTCAGAGGAAATGTAACCGGGTATGAACTGGTGGCACAACTCATATATCAGTAGCCTGTAGTGGGTCTACATAAATCCTTTTCTTTAACGTTATTTAACTGTTTTGAAAATGGTTTCAACAGAAGTAATTCCAATTGCACCAGAAAGGAAACCAGAGTCTTAAAGAAAAATACACTCTCTTTGCTGAGCAAGGCAAACATATCAGTATGCAGAGAAATAAAAACCAGTCTCTTACGTTATTTCCTTAACAAATCCACTGAAACACTTACTTTGTATCTTTAAAAGGTTGATAGACAAAGAATTCTGTGGCCACTACAAATTAATGCCTACAACTGGTTTATAGCCACTTTGAAAGGGCAGGTACTATTTTTTAAATTTGTTTCTCTCTTACTCACAGGATCTCATTATGGGACTTGGGATGTATTATAAACACAATAAATATTTGTTGTCTTTTAAAACAACTCATCAAAAACATTGTCTGGGGAAGGATTTTCTATTTAAAAACTTATATAACCTAACACATTAGATAAACTAACACATTGCTATCACAGACCTCACCCTATTTCTAGCCAAGCTCTTATGGAATAATATTTCTCCAATAAGCTCTAAGTGGCACTTTCTGTCATGATGTTGCTTTTTGTCTCTTCCGGGAATTAATGTTTAAAATAAAAGCCCTCATATCTGTGAAAGGTGAGAACTTGATACTATTTAAAGCTAATTCAAGTCATTTGGTGAAAGTAACTTCATTTGAGAACTAGAAGATGTGAATGTAAAGGATAGATGGCTCTGATAAAAGCACAATTCCGTAGTCAATGAAACTGGTAAATTAATTTAGACCTTGACCCATTTCACCCCTTGGGGCCACAGAATGTGATGGAAGAATCTCTTTGTTGTTAGTCTTAATTCCCCAAGATCTTCACATGGCTCACTCCCTTAACTCCTAGAATTTTTTACTCTGATGTCACCTCAGTGTGGCTTGTCCTGACCACTCCATTTTAAATTTCAACTTTCCCTCCCTTTACCAGCGTCCTCAATCCCCCTTTCCAGCTTTCTATTTCCCCCAGCACTTACCTGATACCGTGTATGTTTTGTTTGTCTGTTTAAGGTTTCTCTTCAGCAACTTGAATGGAAGTTCCATGAGCACAGATAATTTTTTTGTCTTTGTCTTTTTTTTGTTCTTTGTCATATTTTCAGCACCAGGTACATAGTAAGTGCTCAATAAATCTTTTGTTGACATACAAGCTAAGGCACTACCAGTTTGTAGGATTCTAGGTGCGGGTTATCCCCAACACTATGGATAGTTTATTTTTTTATTTTTTATTTTTTTAAATATCTTTATTGATTTCAGAGAGAGGAAAGGAGAGGGAGAGAGAGAGATAGAAGCATCAATGATAAGAGAGTCATTGATCGGCTGCAGCCCGCAACCCGGGCATGTGCCCTGACCGGGAATCGAACCCCGATCGCCTGGATCCTAGGTCGACGCTCAACCACTGAGCCACGCCCGGCCGGGCGCTATGGATAGTTTAAAAAGCAGTTTCACATCAATTATTTTGTTTGGTTATTCTTAAAACAACTTTGCATTTTAAGAAAGAATTATTATCCCAATTCAGCAAATGAGGAAACAGGGCCTCGTAGAGTTTCTCTGAATTGTGTCACATCGAGAGGCTAGCAAATGGTAGACTCCAGCCTCGAACTCAGATCACTTACTTCCCTTGACATCCTGCTGCCACCCAGGTTGAGTCTATCTGACCAGAAGAATTTGTATTAAGCATGGCTGGCTGGTCAGGTCTCAGGGCACTGGATTCCGAAATGGAAATGACAACAGAATTCGGACGCAGCATGTATATTCTTGATAAATGAAGCCACCCATCCTGTGTAGCTCTCTAGGCTGTGAAACCTAACTTCTCAGCGGAGCCTTACGTGTGGAAGAGCGGTCCATGACGAGGCTGTGACCCTCCGTGACCCCTCCTTAAACTGCAACTGAATGCCATGCCTGCTTGTACTTTAGGCCTTTCTCTTCCTCGATATTTCTATTTCATGTCATGTTGTGGGAAGGGGGGCAGTGTGTGTATGGCTAAAGATTATAGACTGGAAAATAGGCAGAAACGTGCAACTTGAAGCTTGACGTGGTTGGAAGTTTTGGGGGTTTTTTTGGTGGGGGGCCGGCCATTACTCTGTCTCCTCATCTATAAAATTCTCCCAATGGTACCAAGTTCTGATAAAGAAATTAGATGACACAAGTAAAGCATTCATCACTGCCTTAAGTATTATTGTGTATCTCCTGTATTTATTCTACTAGATCATAGATCGTAGAAAGTAAGGCACTTGACTGGCTTTTTAGTTTGCTAGGGCTGCTGGAACAAAGCACCACAAACTGGGTGGTTTAAACAATAGAAATTTTTGCCTCACATGTGTGGATGCTAGAATTCCAAGACCAAGGTGTTGGCAGAGTTGGTTCCTCCTGAGGGCCCTGAGGAAGGAGCTTTTCCATGACTCTGCCCTAGTTTCTGGCGGTTTGCTGGCTAGTCTTCGGTGTTCACTGGCCTACAGAAGCATCTCTCCAATCTTTGCCTTCGCCTTCCCATGGTGTTCTCCCCGAATGTGAGCCTTTGTCTAAACTCCTCTTTTTGATAAGGACCAGTCATGCCGGATTAGGTGCCCATTTTACTTCCATGTGGCCTCATTTTAATTGTATCTGCAACAACCTTATTTCCCAATGTGGTCACATTCTGATCTACTGGGGGGTTAGGTATTCAACATGTGAATTTGGGGGGTGGCACAATTCAACATATAACAACTCTGGCCTCACCACTTTTGTTTGTTGGAGTTATTTGCATTTAGTGAGTTTCTGGGCATTGCTGCTGAATTCATTACATTTAAAGAAAATGCTTCTAGAAGGTTTAGAGATGGAGCCATTTTTCAGCAAATTTGTGTCCTTTTGAAAGTTGCCTTTCCATCCAAGGTTTAGCAGAAAAGGAAACTTTTCTCCAGCTAGTGCTTCCCTGGGCTTTGTGTTACTTAGGCCTTTGGATCGGGAAGATACAACATGTGTTGGTAAAAGTTTTGTTCAGGATTTTCCAAGCAGGTTTTTAATGGGTAGATGGCAGTAATATCTTTATATTTGGGTTATGTTTTAAATATGTCATTTAACATTTTAAAGGTTTATTTATTTAAAAATGTATGTAACTCAGTGTTCTTTTCAAAATTTCAGTGTAACTTTTTATCTCATTGTTATCTATTAATAATAAATGTGTTAATAATAAATGACAATTTTCCTTAAATGTGTTTTACATTATTTTCTGATATATATATATATAGTGTCATTATAAGGTAATGAGGTTGGTTCTGCAATCTATACACATGCATATAGATCACTGTATTTTAATGAAAATTCACACCTAAAAATTTAATTATCTAAATTGCAATGCTATACTTGATACAGTTTTATTTTTAAAATTGATATTCCTTCCACAAGTCACTGCTGAATATAGTGAGAACTTTTGGAGTTGCTTTTCAGGCTATACACTTATTTATTTGGGCATTTATGTATGCATTTATAGCATATTCTCTAAGTGGTTGGCACTGAAATTTTGAGTTGATGTGAATCTCAGGATTTATTGTGATGGAAATAGGACCACCTGTAGAGCTTGAGGTCTTATAAAAGGTTTGTAAATATTTATTGAATGAATATATGAATGAATGTATGGGGGGAAGGAAAAGAAGTCATTTATTTTAACTCCATTTGAACCAACAAAATCAGTAACCTACAGTGAATATCATACTTAAGAGTGAAGGTAATAGATTTAAAAACTATGAAAGCAAGTTTTAGTTCTTCAGATCATTTTCTTTTTCTAAGTTGGGTTTTCTTGGACGTTTGGACTCTCCCCTGCATCTTCTATATTGTGACTGATGATTCCAAGAGGTCTACAATGAAAGGGGCCTCTGAGACAGGCAGGCTGAGAGCAGAGAGAGAGCGAGCACATATTTGCATAGGGCAGGAAGGGCACTATAACATCTGGCAGTGGTAGCCTACTGGGTCCATTTGTTAGTGCTCATTAAATTCACATTAATGCATGAGCTGCTCTGAATGTGTAAATGCCATGTGGGTTGGTGGCTTTCTCTGAGGCCAATGGCAATGACTTTTGGGGGCCCTACCCCTGGTGGTTTAGTTGCCAGTGGCATTTGACCCGGGGTCAGACCTGTATTTAACCCTTTCCTGTAGGTCAAAAACAAATTAATTTGGTGAGAATTAAATTGGAAATGAGTCGTCTGTACAGCAGGTGTCCCCTGTGGAGAATGTGCCCCAGGTGGAAACATTTTAAGATCTGTTTTAGGGCCATCTCTGAAGAAGCTTCAGAGGTCAGAGAGGCAATTCCAAGACATCCCATGTGGTGAGGGCCTGGAGATGGATGTAGCAGGTGCTGACTCTGGGCGGTTTTCTCAGCAACTTGGGGGGACTTTCAAAGAGGCCCCTTTTGGAGATAATTTATTTATATATTCAGGAACATACATCTTGGGCATTCATTGTGGACTGATTTACTTAGAAGTTGCCCTAAATGATTGGAACTTTACCCTTTGCCCCCTACCTCCCACCATCAACCAAAGACTTTGATTTGAAGGAAAGATAATAATGCATTTTTCTCTTTCTTTTTTCTAGAGGATGAAGAAGACGAGGAAATGGTGGAACCTAAAATTGGCCACGATTCAGAACTGGAAAGTCAGGACAAAAAGCAGGAAGTGAAGGAAGGTATGGCGTGGGAGGTTAATCGAGCCTTTATTTTATTCATTTATTTTATTACCATAAGGGGCTCTAGAGGTAAGTAAAAATTAAACGTACACCCCCTGTGTGGAAGGTTTTCTATGATTGTTCAATACATTAGAGTTAGCAACAGAAACTTTAATTTCCAAAGCAAGAGTCCTTTGGTTTTTTTTGGACTGATAGAAGCAAATAAAATGCAAACTATCCTTAATTCCAGCAACCAGTCCAGTCATGACTCCAGGAAAATTATTACTGAATAGTGATAAAATAAGACGTTTGCTATCAATTGTTGTGTTACCTAGTTCACTCTATTGTATATTCCCAATGATAACAGTAACAAGAAAGCAACACACACACACACACACACACACACAAGAAAACGAAAACAACAGAGAACGAGAAAATAGTCACAGGATGTAAAGTGCAGCATAAGGAATATAGTCAATAATATTGTAGTAACTATGTGTGGTGTCAGGTGGGTACTAGACTTGTGGGGTGATCACTTCGTAAGGTATAGAAATGTCTAATCAGTATGTCGTATGCCCAAAGCTAATATAATATTGTATGTCAAGTGTAATTTTAAAAATTTAGAAATTATAACATGGAAAAAGAAAGGAGAAGACAATGTTACAGGTGATGTTTCCCTAAAAATCTAATTTATATCCCTTTGAGATTCTCAGCCCTGGAGACAAAAGAGAATTTTGAAATTGTCATTCTTACTGACCAGTGGAGTGTCCTGTGAGAACAGACTGTGGATTAAAAGATTCTTTCATATTTCCTACTAAATGACCCCAGTGCAGATCAATAGAACTCTAATGAGAAGCCCATTTGATTTAAAATTTTAAAGATACATGCGGCTCCAGCACAGTGCGTGTCACATGGCTGTCACTGGGGACTGGCGTGGGAAGGGTACATCCTGGTCATGTGTACTCACTTCAGCCTGCTCAGGCGTTGAGGTTGGCTATAATCAAGTTCTGGGGCATAGAAAAGGCAGGGAGCAGGTTCAGCATCTTTAACAGTGGCATCCACAGAAGGCACAAGAGTTACTTTTTCTGAGAGAGTCTAAATGGATTTGATTGAAGAGATTTCACATTTAAACTTCTACTAGGAACATATTTTTTTAAAGCTGGTCCATAAAATATCATTGACACAGGTGTAGCACGAGACAAAATAAGTCAGGATTTAATTAAAATACCCTCTTCTTGCTTTTGCAAAATATCCTTAAGATACGTTGGGTGATAAAGAGCTGGGGTATGTTTTGTGTGTCCTGGCACAGATCACCCCTCCACCCCATCCCCAAACTCCAATCTCCGAATTGTCTACTCTTGTAAAACATTGCAAACAACTTCTTTGCTGCTGAGCGAAAACACCCTCCAGTTTCAACTGTTATTCACACTTCATGGAATTGATTAAAGTCCTGTTAAAAGTCAAAAAGAAGTTTGAAATACATTTTCTATTACTGCGGCACTGTGTGCATTATTTTTCTATTAATGGCTTTTCTGCAAATTTGCACACAATGGGTTAAAAGCATGTTTATGTTGGCATCAAACTCCATTTTCTCTTCTTTTTTTTCAAAGCAAGACAGTATTTTGCAAAGTTTTGAAAGACTCTCCAGCAGATATAATCGTGGCGCCATTCACACGGCTGCAGAGTAGTTAGGGCTGTGTCAGCACTTCCATTATGAACCCTGAGTTTCAGGGATTTATTACTCAGCCATAAAAATTTGCTCTGGGCTGAAACTTGACATACATGGTTTCAAACCAGGGAACACATTTTTGAAAAATCTGGCCTTTTTTGGTGTTTAAAAAAAAAAAGTGGTAAGGGGAGATGGGAAAAAAATCAGTGCTCACTAAGCTTTTGACATTTTTGCCCATGTGACATCAAAATGCATTAAACAGTAAAGAAATATGGGTTTGATTTATGACTGTTTTCACACTTTTTCCATAACAGAGTGGAGCAAAATAGCAGGTACGTTTTAACTTTTAATCAAAATTTAAGGAATTTGTACATGTGTCTTCATATCTTCATGTTTGGAGGTTTAAAACAGCAGAATCAGAAACCTCACTCTTGTAAACACGTCACCTCCTGAGCCTCACGTTAGCTTCAGAGCACAGCCTCTTTGTTAGTCTGGTTTGCTTTTCTTGTATATGAACTGATTTCACTGTAAAATTCCCATCAGAGCCACGCTCCCGATTTAAGCTACGTGGGTTTGCTTATTTATTTTTTTGTCTTTTAAATATATTCTTGAAAAGTATTAAAAGATGTCATTTTGATATTGAAATTTAAATCTACATCATGGAAACAAGGCAAGATATTTCTGAAGTGGATATTTTAAAAATAACTTTTAACCTAAAAAAATCATATTGTAAAATACCCAATATAAGTTGTGAATTTCATGATGAAATTTATATTTTTAAAGAAAAAAGTCCCAAGAACCCAAGAAACCAAAAGACATACTACATAATAAATAGAGTAAATTAAACAGAAACTGAAAAAAGTACACCTTAAGTTCAATAAGAGAACTCAAGAAAGCAGAGAAAATGGAATAAATTCATCATGAAAGACATAAAAAAGCATTTTCATGTGTAAAATCAAGATAAATTAACATTTCTATAAAAAATAGAATAAAAAGTAGAGCTTGAAATAAAATTTATACTAGATTTTAATTTAGCAGGACATGAATTCATAGAATTAGGCAGCCTCTAAAATTTGAATTTCATGAATGCGGTACATTGTTTTCATACTTGTTATTCAAGCTAAATATAACTGTTCAGGTAAATTTTGCTAAGTTTGAAATTCGTCATGTCATTTGGACCATATGTAAGTCAAAGTCATGTGTTCTACTTTTCACAAAGAATCTTTATTTTTTGAAAAATGTCACTTTAAATGCAAAAAGTATTGTTAGCTCTTGGTAGAAATACTAAATATTTTGTTGCAAAAACAAACAACAAACTTGCTATAATAGCATTTTCTGCTTAACTTGTAAAAAAATCAAATATTATAAATGCCCATAGTTTTCTCTGATATGCCTTTTGCTATTAAATTAATCCTGCCTTTTCTTATGCAGTGGACATGTTAAAAAATTGATTAGGGTCCAGTGGTAGGGAAAGGCTACAGAAACAGATACATCAGGGAGAATTTAGGGTCTATCCTGGTGTAATACAGTTCTGATTCTTATTGTTTATGCTTATATTTTGAACCTTGTAGATCCCATTAATCAACCAGTTTTCTTTCATAAAATATGATGTCTGGAAAGGTTTCATCTCTGAAGACAGCTTTAGATTGTGGTTCTTGGATTCTCCATTATGTTTTCATTACATTGTAACATTTATCAATTTAAAGATTTTTTAATATGGGAGGTTTGGGATTTTTGTCAAAAATAACTATGGTCCTGTTTAATTCCTAAGCTGAATATTGTTTACGAAGTTAAAAAAAGTACTTGTCTGCACATGTATCTTATTATTTTGTGCTAACAAATCTTGTCATTTGATCCTGTTAGACATCAAAGCTTAATATAAAATTTATCTTATGTTTTGCTTTAGTAGCAATTTAATTTCAAGCCAAATCTTGTATTGTCAAATGTAATATCTGGAGAGGCTACTGCTTCACCTACCTGAACTTGGCCTTTGCAAATACACTTTGATCAGCCATTTATGTTTCTCTTCGAGAAGGAGTTGTATGTCTTGAAAGATGAGATCAAAGTGACAATAAGCTACAGGGAAGAAAAAAATTACAGAAAATTACACAGATACTATTTTTTATTCAAGGTAATGGACCTGTAAGGAAAGATACAGGTGAAACAGAAGCAGCTGAGAAAGACAAACAGAAAATAGAAAGGTGTTTTTTTTTAATATTATAAAAATGGAATAAAGGGGAAAATTCCTATTTCTCTGCCTCATTTCAAGTGTGTCTCATGTCATCCATCAACAGTGACTAAGAATGAACGAGGCTTTTAAAATAAGACATTTTTCTTGGCCCTATAGTATCCTTGTTTAGTGAAGTTTATTTATGTAACAAGAGTTAACCAAAACAAAATAAACCTAACATTTTGTAGGGTAATTTATTTATTTATTTATTTTGCCTAGCTACATTGAGTAATTTTACAGTTTTCTTGAACTTATATAAGGTTGAAAAATTGAAATGCGTACAAACATATGGGAGTTTTAAAAAGTAGACTACTAAATTGCTACCTTAAAGACGAATTATTTAATACTTAACTATTTGCCCAGTGTATTTATGTTTAACCCTTAAAGCAGACTTAAAGTTTAGGTATCATTACCTCATTTTATAGATAGAAGTAATGCTCAGGGAGCTTTCATTGATTGAAGCTAACATGGGGCACAGGAAATGTTGGATTCCAGGTTGGTTTTGTAGAGTTCTTATTGTTATGGTCCACATATTGCCCTTTTCACTATTTCTCAAACTAGTGTCTGCACATATTTTGGACTCTGGAGACTTCAGCAGCAAAGAAATATTTTTAACTATATTTTGAAACTGTGGGGTGGGCTGTTTTTGGAGAAGATCTGCTGCTGTGGTGAATAAATCATTTTATGTTATAATATCACCTGGAGAGCGTGTCTCAAGGTGTGAACCAACTACATCAGAATCATTCTAGTTTCTTGTACAAGTACAGATTTTAAAGTCTCTCCAGACCCCCTGCATTATGGCCTGCAGCAGGAAAGGGGCGATGGGAAGGGGAGAAGCATTATGAACATGAAAGGTTTAAGATCCACTGCCATGGCTCTGCCGAAGAGCTTTGGGACAGTTCCCATTTCTCAGGACAGTGGCTTTGAGATACTATTCATAGAATCAAGTAACATTTACATGAAACATTATGCTCCAGGTCTCTACCTGAAAGAGTCTTCTGACCATGTGGCCATGTTGACATTGGGCCTGGTCATATGGGGATGGTGGTGGAAGTGTTTGAGAAAGCCTGTGGCTGAGAGATTCCACGAGGGACCCCACCTGTTATTGCAAAGCGCTTCCCCCTTCTGTAGCTCAAACTCCAGGCACTTCTGGTCCTACTGAAAGAGTAATCAGTGAACTGTGGATTGAAGGCTCTCTGCCCTAGAGTTGAATGGGGGATCCTGACAACCACAGAGGTTCAGCTGACAGTTTCTGCCCTTGAGGGTTTCCCAGTCTGGGAGAGTTCCTAATCTTTTATTGTTATATGGAAACTCTGCTACTGAAGAAACAGTTTACGTAACTTAATTGTGACTCTGAAAGGAACTTTTTTCCAAACACTGTGACATACTGCTAGTTATTTAATCTTCTTTGCCTCATTTTGCATCTTCAAAATTAGTTTGATAAGCTTAATCATCCTGGAAAAGTAAGCCATCTGAGCAATTGTGAGGTGTCTTACAGCAGCATTTACTTCTTCTATGTGTTTACTAACAAGATATTTTGGGTGAAAGCAGATTTGGAAGGACGTGTCAGGTTTTGAGTGGAATGTATAAAACCATCTGTCAGCCTTGCCAACTCACCATCTAAAATAAAATAAATGTATCCATAGAAAGAGGAAAGGTGTTATCTGGATCACAGTATAGGTAGTTCTTAATTATTTAATATGTGCAGCTTTACAGTAGTATCTAATACACATAGTTTTAGATTTCTTTATTATGTACTATTTCAGCTTTTTTTTTTTTAGTTTAGTTCTAAAGAAAATAACATTATTCAAAACTGATTGCTAAGAACCCACCCATCTATTTTCATTTGTAATATTTTCAACTGTTCCAAACAGTAATTAGGCCAGATGTGACATCTTTGTGTAAAACTGGCAGTGGAGCCATCTGCAGAGACCTGTGGTGTGACTTTGGGAGTGATGCTTGCAAGGCCTTCTCTTACTGTGTCTTTCTTATCACTCCTTTGATAAGCAGCCCTGTTCAAGAGTTGGATTCCTCTAGAGATGTTTTTAATTGTCCTTTTTTTTCTTTCCTGACAATCTCTTTTACATAAAAAGCCCCCCCAAGGGAGCTGACAGAGGAAGAGAAACAGCAGATCCTCCACTCAGAGGAGTTTCTCATCTTTTTCGATCGGACCATCCGCGTCATCGAGAGGGCCCTGGCAGAAGACTCGGACATCTTCTTCGACTATAGCGGCCGAGAGTTAGAGGAAAAAGATGGGTTCGTTTCTTGTGTGTATTTAGAGTTGATTCTAAACTCATGTATGTATCGACTTAGCAAATCCCAAACCTAACAAATCAGAGGGAGATGAAATTCCAGGGCTGATCTTGCTAAACAGCTTTGACTAAGGGCTTTGGTTGTAACTTTTGGCTTAAAGTCTCCCTGTAATTATCATGCGCTTCCGTGAAATGCTTTTGAACTTGGTATCTGGGGGGCAGGCCAGGTGATAGAGACTGGCAGAGTCACGTACATTGTCCTCTGAGAAAGCATCCTTATAAGCAGCAGAAGGAGATTCGTGCTATAGCCAGTAGATCTATTTTTATGTCTAAGCAAACAGGAGAGTGAAAAAAATAAACGTGAGACAGAGAGACCTTCACTGATGTGGGAGACAGTGAACAGAAACTGGAAATTTTTTTCTCCTTTGACACCGTAAGGTTATGTGTCTGTGCCTTTTAGGAAACAGATATGCAGGGGTATATTTACAGATAAAGCAAACAAAAAACTAATCAATAAAAGCAAAGGCCCCAAATGACTTTCTGTGTGACTGCAGTGTATACACTGTAAAGGGCAGAGGCTACTAACCGTCATTGTGGGGATAATAGGAGACACTTTATGAGCTTTGTAAGAAATGGAAATCGCTGGGTTTTAGTCACCAATTTCTTTATGCCAAGAACAATATGAAAAGGTGAGATTACTGCCTTTTTCATCAGAACTGACTTTTTACTATTTCTAAAATTCAAATACATTCTCAAAGGACAACCTATCATCATTCAAGATACTCAAAGGAATATAACAGGCTCCAAAAATAGTTTCAAAAGGGAGTTCTGACATATTCTAAACAGATGACAGCATCCTTAGCCTACTTCGAAGAGAACATGGTATTTTGAATATACATGTTATGGGATATTTTGTTGTTTTTTTTTTTCAAAAAAGCCTGCTCTGTAGCCCAGTTGATTTTCTGGATGTCTGGCCTAGTGTTCTTCTGGCTTCCTGGCAGTTACTCGGGTACATGTACCTCTTGCCTGAGTTTGCAATGGTGGAGGCGTGGAAGGGTTAACAGGAGAAAAGAAACTCATGGTAAATCAGCTGATTAGAGCCTAATTAAATAATCTGAAGCCAGGTCACCCAGCACAAGTGAGGCAGAATGCACACCAACGGCATGAAACAAATGAACAGAAAAAAAGGTGACTGTGGAGGAATTCCTGAACTGAAGCCCAAGAAATTTAGACAGCTTTTTATGTGCATCCAGAAGCTGCTGGCAGGCAATCAGCGTGACTCAATGTAAACACCCAGTCTATGGAGCAAATGCACCACCAGTGCAGTGTCCCTCAGAGGAAGTGCAGTGGCCAGCTGAGTGTCAACCAAGTACACTCTGTTCCAGTCTGTTAGGTATCTAATACACTTGGTGCATCCCCCACTCTCCACCATATGGGTCCCCTGGTAGAATTTACCATTTGCTGTTGAGCAGGGAGGCAACCACTGCAGCCAGTCAGAAATTACTGGTAAAGAGAAACACGAACATCATCCCTGGTCTAAGGCTAGATGAGGGGGCACTGATATCAAAGAATCTCCAAGTGTGCTGTGCTCCCTTGGGAACTTTCTAGCAAACTCTGTTTCAATATAGATCTTACTAAGAGGAGGAGAATCCTGCAGGACTGGTCAAGATGAGTACCTGAAACAAATTTGACACTTTATACCAGGCTTGGAACAACATGTGGAAACCTTTTAGAGAGAGCTTTTCTTAAAGAAGACACTGAATAGTTTAGTTGTGAACAGAGTTTGCTATCTAAGTGGATGCTTTGACTTCAGGGGGTATTGTGTGCCATGCATTTGCCATTTCATTCTTTCAGCATTAGCAGAAGACATAAAGCCCCATTCTGAAGCATCATGTTGATCTTTGATGTTTAAACCCTCGTAGGGATGTCCAGGCTGGAGCCAACCTTTCTTTCAATCGTCAGTTCTATGATGAGCATTGGTCCAAGCACCGAGTAGTCACTTGTATGGACTGGTCTCTCCAGGTAAGAATCATGGCTGGGATGGAACAAACTGGGCTTGTGTTCTCATGGCATTTGTATAAAAAATAATAATAAGAGAGATTTGCTCCACTACTTTGGATATGTTCACTAACCTACAATTTTTTCTATGCCTATCAGGTGTCTTTCTTATTTTTCTGAGGTTTCAGTTTAAATTTTGCACACTGTCGTCCAAATACATTGAGTATTTACTATGTGCCAGGTACCAGACAAGGACCCAGGCCATTCTGTCTATGAAACTGCTCTCATCAAGGTCACCAATAGTTTCCTATTTGTCAAGTCCTGTGGATATGTTTAAGCCTTTATTGTCCCTGACATCCCAGCTTAGTTGACTTCTCCATTCTTCTAAAAATAATATTCTTCCACTGGGTTCTACAACCCTACTGTCTTCTAGTTCTCAGACTTCCCTAAGACATCTTCTTTCTCTTCCACCCTTACGGTCCTCCTGGTCATCACCTCAACCTCTACTCTTCTTCCCGACATGGTCTCTGTGGGAGATTTCTCCCACCGCTGTGGAGTCAACCATCACATGGGCAGCCTGTTTCTATCTCCCACCCAGTGTCCCTCCTGAATTCCACTTTATGCACCAGACAGATTTACTTGGGTGCCCCACAGAATCTCAAACTTACCATTCACTCATCATTTCCACATATTCCAAATCCGTTTTTGCCTACTATGTTCTCTCTATGGTAAAGTCATACCCAAGGGCCAAAGCAGAACTTTCATCATTAACATTAGCAACTTCTCCTTTATCTTCCAGACCCCATCTCTCACCAGAACTGTCCATTTCTCTGTTCGTATATTCCTCATCTTACACCTGTAATATTGCTAACATATCCATGCTTGTCCACCTATAATTTTCCTCCTGAAAATCTAGCCAAATATTGTTGACCTTTGAACAATGCAAGGGTTAGGGACTCCTCCCAACCCCGACACACACACAGTCAAAAATCTGCATATAACTTTTGACTTCCCAGTCGTCCCTTGGTATCTGCAGGGATTGGTTCCAAGACCAACTTTCTACTCCCCTTCGTAGATACCAAAATCTATGGATCCTCAAGTCCCTTCTATAAGATGGTGTAGAACAATGCATACAGCCCTCCACATCCAAGGATTCCCAACCATGGATTCAAAAGCCAAGGATTAGGAGGGCCGACTATATATTTATTTATAAAAATCATCAGCATATAAGTGGGCCTGCACTGAAAACCCATGTTGTTCAAGGTTCAACTGTAATCTTTCTAAAGTGTAAATCTGATCACTTCACCCCCTTGATTAAAACTCCTCATTATCAATAAAAAAAAAGTCTAAACTCCTTAGTGTGGCATTCAGAGTGAAAGCAGTCAAATTTACCAAAAGCCAGGTTGCTGAATGGCCAACTCAACCACTTGACAGTGTATCCAGTGCTGAGCAGTTAATTATGTGCATTGTGGTCCAGGCAGAATTTGAACCCTGATAGTCTGACCCCCGAGCCCATGTTTTTGATGACTATGCCATGCTCCCTCCTGCAGTGACAATGACGTAATAGCAGGGAAGGAAATAGAAATGATGAGCCCTGGTCATTTATGTCCAGCACAGTTTCTGCTTTCTTCCAGCCTGTGCTTTTATTTGGAATAATAGTCATAGCTAGCTTTTAGTTTGTGTTTCTTACATGCTGAGCACTGTGCCAACTGCTCTGATGGCATTATCTTATTTCACCCTCAACATCATATGAGGTGGCCATGGTTACTGTTTCCATTTTATAGCTGAAGAAATTGAAGCTAAGTGATTTGCTAAGTCACCCAGCTAGGATGTGGTAGAGCGAGGGTTTGAACCCAGGTCTTTTTAGCACTTTAAGGCATATGCTCTTCCCCACTGCCTCCCACAAAAGGCTATGAATCTGGAACCAAGAGGTTATACGTGCTGAATGACAGGAGGCAGGTAGCAAGTGATCTCAGAGTTCAGTGGAGGTTGGGATCGGTTTCTGGTGAGACGAGGCTTCTCGGGAGACTGGGATTGAGACAAATGGGAGGGAGAGGAGGGTGTTCTAGGCAGAGCAGGAAAACATGATGTGAAGAGCCCATTTCATCGTGCTGGGGAACTGAAGAGGAGAGTAATCCCCCACAGCCGACTGTCATCAGCCACCGAGTGGGTGAGTGCTCTGTCCTCTTGAATCTCCTTTCACATCCAGACGAGCGGCTGGGCCTGCTGGAGCCCAGAGCGACGCGAGCAGGGAGTGCCCGCCACTTCCCGCCGCTGCGTGGGTGGCCTGCGCGCAGAAATCGGATCCCAGCCCAAGGAAACACTTAGCTTGGCTTGTTCACTTGTTCAGAGTCTGGAAATTACACAGGAACCTTATCTGACACGTTCCTCAAAGGCACCTTGTGCTTGTTCCTGGGCTCAGCTGACAGCAGGCAGCGGGGCCAGCCGCAGCGGGCCGGTCCCTCCTGTCCTCAGCCTGTGCTGGGCCATCTCGCCCATGGATGGCTTGGCTCCCACGTGTGTTTTTTGTTGCAGGAAGTGAAACTGTAAAGGGCAGAAACTCCGCCGTGGAGAGACCACATTTATTTTTCCGAATTTTCGTGTAAGCTGTTCATCTATGTAGTTTATAGGAAGCAAGAGAAAAAGGGTTAGAACCCTCAGCTCCAACACGGTCACACTTTTGTGGGGTTCAGAGGACCACGTTTCTATTCGTATGGGATGAAGAGCCTTTGAAGGGGTCTAGACGCAATCCAGGAAGGACAGGGGCACAGTCCTGCAGCCTGGTAAGGGCACATGTGCTAGGAGGGCCCCCTGAGTGGGACAGAATGGAACAGAGGGGAGAAAGGGGAAGAAACCACAGTAAGTCCTCACTTGACACAGTCGGTAGGTTCTGCAACTTTCAGCAAAGCGACATATAATGAAACCAATTTCACCGCAGGCTAATCGACATAAACAAGAGTCAAGTTCCTGTGGCATCTCATGTTATAACAACGAAACAGTGTTATTCGAGGACCTGCTGTAGGAGGGTTCTGCATCGCTTTGCTTTGATCTCCCGAGCTTCCTAAACAAGAACACTTTAAGTCTGCAATATTTGCAAAATATCCACCAAACATTATTTCCTGGAAAAAAATGTGAGCACTCAGGGAATTACATCAACTTTGTCGTCCATTGAACACTGTGGAGTAGAGAGAGTTGATACTTGTACAAAACCAGACTCTTACTCCCACCATGTTATACTCCTCTCACATGTAAACTGCTTTCTCCAACCTTTCCGTTGTCATGATACAAACTCAAGTCATTTTTGACAGTTTTTTTAGTTGCCAAATCAAATTAAATTTACAGTAGCAAGAGAATTCCCATTGATACCAATTCAAATCCCCTAACATGAGGAATTATCACCTATATTATCCCGTGCCCTCTACTTTTTGCTTATTTAGGGACATAGCATCCTACCTGGTCTTCCTACCTCAAGTCTCTACACTATCGAGTCATTATAACTACTTTCCCAGATTAACACTTGTAAAGATGACTTATGTGCGCTCAATATCATCTTGGGCCTGTTGCCTGACTTCTCTTGGCTTAAGTTTCCTCATTCATAAAATGATGATGATAGCACTTAGTTCACATGCTTATTGTGACTATTGAATGAGTTAATGTATTTAAAGCACTTAGAATTTTTTTTAAAATGTCTAGTACATAAAAAGTACTTAATAAATGTAACAGTGGGGAGAGTATTAACAGCAGAAATATGGAGTGTTGCGAAGTATGACTCCTGCCACCCCTGCAGTAAAGTCTAAAATCGTGAGCCTATGCTCGGTAACCTTTGTGAGGATGCCCTGAGACATTTCCAACTCTTGTGTCTTTTTTACCTCTTGACACACCTAGGCTCCCAGGCAAATGCTACCATCTGAGGTCTCCCAAACCTGTTCTTCTGCACGTTTGGCTAGCTTAAGAAAAAAAGGGGGAATTTATTGAAGAGCCACTCAGGTACTTAGGGAATTCATGGAAAAGATGAAGAACTGGGACTCAGGAAGAGAAGAAATTTGGGCAGCCTGAGGGACCTCACCAGTCAAATGCTGTCGTAATGACTCATTTGCCAGCCCACAGGTTCAGCATCTCAGTTCAAAATTTGCAATAGCCAGCTAAGAGAATGTGATTCTCCCGGCTGGGTATCAACCCTGCAGTGAATGAATTGTCCCTGAGAAGTCAGACAGCTGTGTCTTGAGGTATTCTCCAAACATGGGAGACTCACTGAGCCAGCAGGTACCCAAGAGAAATCTCCTGCACCCATTTGGTACCCTTGTCCACCCTGTCCTCTCCCGTCTCTCCTAATAACCTACCCATTTGACAAAGCCCAACTCAAGTCTCATTCCTTTTTAGAAGTCCTTTCCAGTTTCTCTGCCTGCCGCACCCTATCCTAACTAAAGTGCTTATTTTATCTTCTGCATTTCTATAGACCCTTGTTTACACCCCATCTTAGCACATATCATGTTCTGCTCTTATGTTTGTATTATAGCTACCCACACATGTGTCCTCCTTCTTCTACCTAACAGTGAGTCCCTACAAAGCGAGGCGTCTTGTCACAGCCTTCCCCGCGCTTTACCCGGCACCGTGCCTTACAGATGGATAGGGAGCACTTGACGCTGGCTGCAGTGGACTAGAAGGGATGTGTAAAGGCAAACAGACTTTAAGTAGGGTTCTCACTTTTTCATTGATTAGCAACATAACTCAGAACAAGTTACATACCCAGGGACCCTTGGCTTCTTCATCTGTAGAAATAGGAAAACCATTGCTACCTTAGAGGATTGTAAGGACCAAATGAGTTAATCACCCAACTCGGTGTCTGGCTCATAATGGGCACTTAAAACATGTTGGTTCCTTCCTCTCCAATAAAAGTCAGATTTTATTTCTCTATAAGAATAAGCAGCCCAGCCGGGCGCGGCTCAGCGGTTGAGCATCGACCTGGGATCCAGGAGATCAGGGTTCGATTCCCGGTCAGGGCACATGCCCAGGTTGCGGGCTGCAGCCAATCAATGACTCTTTCATCATTGATGTTTCTATCTCTCTCTCCCTCTCCCTTCCTCTCTCTGAAATCAATAAAGATATATTTTTTTTAAAAAAGAATAAGCAGCTTGAGTGCAGATCTGGTAATTTCCAGGTAAAATACTCCTAAGTTAAATATTAGATAATCCAGCCCAGTGAGTAATCACAAATTTCACAGTTGTTCACATTCTCTTTTAAATCATAATTTTAACATTTATGGTTTAAATAATTGTTCAGAGATTTACTTTTTATTGGAGAATAAGAAAATATGACAAGTCATGTTCAGACAACAGAAAGAGTCATGTTAGAGGAGACTTTGAATTCATAAAATCTTGCATATGATAAGAGTTAAATCAGTATCTTTAGGACGTATGATCCCAATTATAGAAACTACACCAAAGGCATTTCACTAGTATTTTACTAAAACTCTCCCTGTTTTCTAAACGAGTTTTAAACCCAAATAATTTTAAATATTTTTAATGGAAAAAAGAAGAACTACAAGTGGGAGTGGGAGCCAACGATGAGACCCAGATGTGAAGCTGTGGGATATAATTGAAGACACATCTGGCTGCTCATTGGCCCCTCTGATAGTGGTGCTGATGTTTATAGAGTTGCCTTTTTACATGTGACATAGTTAAACTTCAGCTGGACAGTCTGGAGACTTCTGTGTTTTATCTAGATGTTTGTGTCTTTGAATGGGCCTTTGATTTAGCCACTGAGGAGTGTTTTCTAATAAAGAGTGATTACGTCCACTGATGGCCACATACATGTGTCGTAAGCTTGTACTTCCTCTGCATCAACCAGCAAATTGTAGCTCTGTGCAGTTTTCTTACATTTAGGGAACTTAAAGAATGAATAAATCCACGTAGAAGACTTAGGATTAATTATTGTTGATAGAAAAAAAGTTGATATTCAAATGTGTAAGGATAATCTACTTTTAAATACATACAAAGCATAGTGAAATATGAGGGAAAAATTAAATGATCTCTGAGCAAAGGGTGATAGAATCTGTTATGATTGTAATGTAATTGCGTATGTGATGATGCAGTTTTTAATGGGCTGCCTTAGGGAATCCCAGGTAGGAATGGCCTTTTCGTGAAATGTTGTTTCACTTATAAATACCTCCCTCGAGATTCACCTTCAGTTTGTTTATTGACTCACAGCAGAGATTAATCACATAGGGTGAGTCAGTATTTCTATTCACTGTAGAGTCCTGGTGGTTTTACTGGTTGTGTTTCTTGCACTTATGCTTTTAATTGTTGGAATTCTTTGACAGCAAAGGATTTTATATAAGGTCTTTCCACTGAGCACAGTTGCTAAAATAAATTTTAAAAGAGCACTTGTAATTCAATAGATTTTGGCACAAATTTATCTTGTGGTAGGAATTACTAGGCTCTAGGTTCAGAGGTCAATAAAAGCTAGTCTCTACACTCAAAAAGCTTACAATCTTTGTAAGAGACATAGGTGGGGGAAAACCGTAACACAGTTTGACAAGTGCATTAATGTGGGGGACACACATAATGCTAAAGGAGACAATGAGAGGCAGGGAGGGGTGGTAGATGGTTAGTTGGGATTGTCTGGAGGACTGGATGCCTGTATTGAGTCTTAAAGAATGGGTCAATGTATAAAACACAGAAGAGGCATTCCAATGAGAGTAGCAGATTCATAGGTACAGAGGCTATGCCTATGACCCTCAGAACTAGCCCAGTGGGGCTGGGGGTGGGAGGAGGGAGGGGAAGTTGTAAGAGGTTAAGCAGAGGAGGTAGCAAATGACAGATCAGGAAAGATCCTATATGACCTGCATATTATCTTAAAAAGTATTAATGAGCCATTAAAGCATTTTAAGCAAAGAAGTGACATAGTCAAATGTCTGTTTTGTAAAGTCATTGACAAAGGATGGAGAGTGGAGTAGGTGAAGGCAGGGCCCGGAGAGCCTGGACGCAGAAAGCCATTTAGGAAGCTGCTGGTTTCATTCAGATGAGAAATTAGAAGGCTTTCATCTTAAGGATGGGAAGAAAACATGCATTTGAAAGGTACGGAGGAAGCAGTGAAACAGTACAGGGGGTTGAGAAGGAGGAAGGTGTAACAGTGAATGTGGCGTGTGTGGCCTGGGCAGCTAGGCGAGTGCCAGTGAAAAGCACCGAAAGGGGGACCATTAAGAGAGCAGTAGGTTTTTGGGGAAGGCAATGAGCTCCTTTTTCTGTGTGTTGCATTTGATGTGTCTATGGATAGCCCTGAGAAATCCACAGTAGGCAGTCATATATAAAGATCTGCAGCCAGGAGAGAAATCAGGCCTAAAAGTATAGATTTGAGCACTGTCAGCATCTAAATGTTTGTTAAAACCATTGGAGTAGATGAATTCACCCAGGAAGAATGTGTGGAGAGAGACAAAAAATAAAAATAAAAATAAATAGGGCATAAAACAGCTTCCTTGGAACATAGATAATGGAAGGAGAACCTGTAGGGACTTAAAAAGAGGGCAGGAAGGAAATCAGGAGAGAAATACGTAATGGAAGCCAATAGAAGAGAAAGGAGGGAGTAGCCCACGTGCCAGCTAATACAGAAAAGGCAGCAATGTGTGCAGTTTGGTAGCTATTGGTGACTACGGCGAGCACGTGTGGAATGTTGGAGGCAGAAACCAGATTGCAATAGGTTGAGACACGAAGTTGGTATAAATATGCCAGACTTAAAAAGAAAGTGGACCTTTAAAGTGTGTAGTATAGCACTTGTCTGTAGGAATTAAGAAAGTTTTCTTCATATTGTCATCTTGGCCTAATTCATCCTTGTGACCTCTTCTATTCAGTACCCCGAGCTGATGGTCGCTTCCTACAACAACAATGAAGATGCTCCCCATGAACCAGATGGAGTGGCCTTGGTTTGGAACATGAAGTTCAAGAAAACCACACCAGAATACGTCTTCCACTGTCAGGTAGGAGTCAGCACAGTAAAAATAACTTACATCTCCTACTAGACCAAATATAGTTCCTGCTGCTTTGCATCTCTCTTATGTGGAGAGGAAGAACTGAGTTTAAAAATGGAATTGTTGACAATTTTGGAAAATTCCCCCACAGTAACCTAATGTTTGGGGAAAGTGGCAACCCTCTCCAAACAGCTAGGAAGCCTGGTTGGGGACTGTGTGTCATTTTCTTTCTATTTAAATCCGCCCCCATAAAGATGAATTTATAAAGACCTCACACTTATGAAGAAATCCTGGTGTACCACTTCCTCTGCTCAGCAGCAGCAAATGCTTGCCCACCCACGTGGCCATCCGCAGAGCACTGCCATTCCCAGTTCCCTCCTTCCTCTGAAATGCAGTTCCATGGGACTTTGCCAATTTTAAGTTGCTGGGTGCCATCTTACTTACAGATAATCATATTTTTGTAGCCAGTTTAGGAGAGTACCTATCATGAATCTTTCTTGACTCGTTGAGAAATATAGATGGCTGTTTCCAGTTTGCAAGTGCAGAGAGCATTTTAAGTAGTTTTGCGTAGTTTACTTCTTGTGTCTGCTGACACGTTTGTCTTCTCGCCCATTCAACACAATACAGGCTGAAATTATGCTACACTTGCAGACATCAAGCTTTGCTCGGTTTCCATGACTCTGCCTAAATAATAGGCCTCAGCAGTGGCCAATACACCAACCCCTTTATTAATGCCCTTATCCTGTGATTATGCACAGGAAAATGCAAAACAAACATTCCAGCTCAAGGTTTCAGTTCCTCAAATATTACCATTCAGACGTACTGAGTGGCAGTTTATTCTAAATACAAATACATCAGTTGAAGAGGGTGTGTAAACCTGCTGATATTTGGAAGTTTAGTGCCATTTTCTATCTAAGAGTTGAGTATCTTTTTGAACTGAAATATGTTTAGACTTTAGAACATTATCAGATATAATTTGGGGAACGGGAGCTGCCTGGAATGAAAGCCCCAGTCCCAACCTGATTGAGTAGCCTCTGATTCTGGCCATATTTTTCTAATTTGCTATCTTAAAAACAACAAGAATTCTAGGTCTGCATAGTAAATAGCCTTTATTTTTTGAACCTTTGAAATAAGAACAGTTTTTCTTTTCTTTCTTTTTTTAAGATTATCAAATTTGTCAGTTTGATATGCTCTTTTAGTAAACATAGAAGCACAAAATCTTAATTTTGTTCAATTTTAAGAAGTTTGCTGAATTACCAGGAAAATACTAAAAAGGCTTGTGGGGTAAACAGAAGCACATTTTTAAAAAACAGTGCATTTAAACTATTTTGATATTACATAAAACGTATCTTGAGTATTAAAAAAATAAAAAGCAACGATATATTGTTTCAGTTGATGTACATGCTGTTTATCAAAATTTATATGAACTGACTGTAGGTTGATAATATGGTTAATATTCACAACATTGCATAGTAAACAGGTCAATAGGAGCATAGTAATGCTGAGTTAAGAACTAAATTTCAAAGGTCTTTGGAATTAACTGGAATTTTAAAATTACCTGTTTTTTTGTATAACTGTTAATACCAATATTGATTGAAAAGAACATCTTCTCTTTCCTCTTATGGTATCTTTGGGATTTTTACTGAAGATCTCACCAACATGCATTTAATTTTATTTTTAGTTTTTATTAAATGATCAAATATATAAATTTTAGAAGAAAATATACTCCTCATTTCAAAAAAAAAAAAAAAATCAGAAGTACTCCAAATAGCCTAAAAAATTATGCTGACTAAAATATCTCTGTTGCCCCCCAAATTCCTACTACTATCTTCATTTCATCTGGTGACTAGAAACAGATGGGGCTCTCAACTCTACCTAGCATTCTCAATAGAAGAAAAATGAGAATTCTAATACTTTTAAACTTTGGGTTGATGAAGTGACATGTGCAAAAGACCATGAGGATTCTAAGAGTCTAGCTTCCAACTAAAAGCTACTCAAGTTAAGACAATTAAAGATATTGAAAATCATGATTGTGCTGCTCAGATGTGAATGGTAAGTAATTCATACAAAAATGATCCTTAATATTCATGAAAAATACATTTAGAAAATCTTATGAAAACCTAGATTGCTCAATACCACTACAGTACCTTGTTTCTGTGATGAAACTATTTATCTTATACTGGTCTAACTGTAGGGGGCAGCTTTGGAAAAGTAAAAAGGGAAAGAGCTTTGGTCCCTCTCAGGAGAGGAGGAAAGAGAAGTGTATACAACCAAAGTAATTATGAAGCCCTTCTGGGGACCCCCAGTAGTTTAAATATGCAGTTATAGTTGGAAACCACTGGAACTTGGAGAAGAGATGAAGAAAGGGGATGACAAGGTGACAAAAGTGGTTGGCTTCTTTATTTGGAAGGGGAGACTTTTCTTCTTGCCCCACAATCCCCTTCTCCTCTTTGGCCCACACTAGAGCAGCATTTCTCACTTTTCTTACTCTGATGATGATCTCCTACCAGACCCTATTGGAAAAATTTCCTAACCAACTTTCCTGTTCCGTCCCAGCTTGTCCCGCTCACTTCTCCCCCCACACACTTATATTTTCTGTAGTTCACCCATCGCTGGGATCTGCTTTGGTGGTGGATGGTCAGAAGACCCAGAGTTGTTTTTCTAGGAATGGGCTGAAAACCTCATTCAACATGACATAGGGACAATGGGAGTTGGCTAGCTGGAGTTGGCTATTTCTTTTGGAATAGTGACACTCCTTGCTATAGTTGATACCCATGAAGTTAAGATAAAAACCAGATAAATAGCAATGATTGTCAGAAGAAAACAAAGTGCAATATTACTGAGTATGCCTGAGCCAATGGGAAACCAAACTAGATGTAACTTAAGCACTCAGGAAAGTTATAGATAAATCAGTGGACCCAGGTTAGGTGGAGGGAAAAAATAAGGGCAGTTTGATGACCATGCATTAACTACAAATGTAGTTATACTTAAGTATAACTACATTTGTCTGTATTTACATTTTGTCAGCACTTCTGCTTTCATGATCTCATTGATTCTTACAACCAGCACAGCAGAAAAGCTGAGACTTTGCACTGTAAGGGTCCCCAGCTAGTGAGCAGTAGAACCAGGCCTGCACTCACTGATGGGACAGTGTGGGCCTTGATAGCAAAGGGTGTGCAGTTCATTCAAAGTCTGTCTTTGGCAGCCTGCCACTTACAATATGTTGGTTAGACATGGTCCTAGAGGTGGCTCCTGCAAAGAGAAGGTAGACCTCAAGAGGATGATCGGCAGCCCCTGGGAGAGGCCTCACGTTGCATACAGGCACCTGCGGGATTGGCTAGGTAACTTGGTAGCCTGGCAGGCTGTCATCACTTGCCAGGTGCAAAGCGTCAACTGCATCCTGGGTCTAGAATAGTCAGGCACAAGAGCATCCACCCACCAGGGACCTCAGGGCACTCTCCTTCCTGTCCTTTGAGACTCCTGGGTGGAAAAGTCTCAAAGGGGCAGTTGGGCCACCCAGGACCCCTCTGGCTGTGTTCAGGCTGGGGAGGGATGTGATGTCGAGTCAGCCAGTGGGGCTGCCAGCAGTAGGGCTTTTTAAAAGAAAATTACTTTAATGAATATATATAAACCTCAAAAAATTAAAGCTGCCAGTCTAGAAATAAAATCAGCAAATTGGAGACCTTGATTGCCAAGCACTTCTCAGTTACAACATGCATTTCTTGTTAACTGATGAAGGGTAGCAACTTCTCCCAAACCGAAAGGGGAATTGGGGGAGCCCACAGAATTAAAATACATATGAGAAAAACCTACACCCCCACTCACCAACCTACCAGTTTTCTTCTACATCCTTTCTGATCTCTGGTAAAGCTCACTTATAACACCTGGTCTCCTCCAGACACTATCTCATAAAATCAGGAAGTTTGTGCTTCCACCTTCTCCTGCGATGTGCAAATAATTTCGTAATTAAGCAGTGAGCTGAGTAAGAAAGAGGACCGTAGACAGGGAGAAGCAACAGGTGCCTTACAACGATTGCACTTTTATCATTTTTGAACAATCATGTTAGCTACCCATTTCTTGATCTCTGCGTATTCTTCATATTTTCCAAAAGTGTATAATTACCAACAAACCTTTGTCTCAGAAAAGCATCATTCCAGTCACTAGAAAGCAAATGCACGAGAGACAGATGTCATTTGAGGGTACTTTTGCGAAGACTGGCAGGCTTTTAGCCTAATCATGAGAAGATTGCAGTCTAAAGACTCATTTCTCTGTTGAGAAATAGCAAAGCCAAATACCTACCACTTCCATGGGCCGCTTCGTGTCTTTACCAAACTGGATATTTAGTGTGGGCTCTGGTCCTGCATTTGCTGTTTTCATTTCAGTGAGAGCTGTCCATAGTTGGAAAATATCGGTGGCCTCTGCGTAGACATCAGCCACCCGGCCCCACCGCATGATCTGGCAGCTCTCCTGCTGTCTTCTGTAGTGGCTTCCACACACTGTCATTACATTATGCATCCTGACCACCCTGCCTTGCTTACCCTGGTGTGGTCTTTCTCTTTTAAACGGAATGAATAGAATCAGAAATATATATCTTAGAATTATCTGCATTGAGGTAAGTGGAAAAGTTATATTTAGAGGCTTGGCATGGTCAGAGGTTTTTATTTTTACTTTTATTTTTTCCTGATTTGGTTTCTTTGTTCTTGGCATTCTCTTTTTAAGGATTATCTGACAATGACCTGAAACTGAAAATGACCTGAAACCCTCACTATTTCAGGGAGAAAGACAAATGTGAAGTGGGGTGATATTAACTAACCCCATTTGTGCCAGTGTTTAAAACCCTCAGTTCACTTTTTCCCTATGTGTGGCTTCACTTCTCAAGAGAGAGGTGGGGCGGGGAAGAGATTAACCAAGGAATTTATATGCATGTACGCATAACCCATGGACACAGACAGTAGTGTGGGGAAGGCCTGGGGGGGGGAGTGCAGGATGGAGGGGATCAGTGGGGAGGA